TCTATGGTCCTACAAGGCTTGAAAGGCATTGTGGTGGTGATGGAAAGATCTGGGTTCAGGACTATCTCCAGGGCAAAGATAGCATCTCTTTCATTTCTCTCTTCCCAGGACTTGGCCCAGCATCCAGCTCATTCATTCCCTGGCGTATAGTAGGCACTCAATCAACACCACTTTCTGGCTGTATGATTTGGGGCAAGGTCTTAACCTCATCAAGCTTCAGCAGGAAATAAATACTATGCCTGCTTCGAAGAGTCTGTGTACGGAGGAAATGAGCTAACCTTAGCCCTACTCAGTGCCTGGTACATGGCAGGTGTTAGACAAATGTTGATTTTCTTCCCCTTTCACTTCTTGTGCATTTCCTCCTTGCTCCTCTCCAATTATGAAGGAGCCCTGGTGGCACAGTGGTTAAAGCGCTGTGCTGCTAACAGAAAGGCTGGCGGTTTGAACCCACCAGCTGCTCTGTGGGAGAAAGATGTGGCTGTTTGCTTCCATAAAGATTTACAGCCTTGGAAACTCAATGGGGCCGTTCTACTCTGTCCTACAGGCAGTGGGTTTTGGATATGAGTTGGAATTTGACTCGACGTCAATGGCTTTTTTTGGTCTATTCCCAGTTATAAGTTACTTAAGTCAGGGACTTTGCCCACTCCTCTTTGAATCCCCAAAGCTTCTCACAGGGCCTTACACACAGTGGTAGTTTCAACTTATTCACTCATTTAGTGACTCTTTGAACACTCATGATGGACAAAAGTTTAGAGATGAGAGAGAGCAGGCACATTCAGGTAGCCCAGGTAGGTGAATATGTCTGAAGTAGAGGCTTCAAGGAGAAAATGATGAGAAGCAAGGCTAGCGTGGTTAGTCTGGATTAGCTCTCAAAGGGCTTTGTAGGCCTTCTAAGAATTTTGGACTTTATCCTGTAAGGCACAGGATTGTCACTGGATCAGGGAGTGGCAGGAACTTCTTTGTATTTTAGAAAGGCTTGTGGTTCTCGAACATTAGCATGCTTAAGAATCACCAGGGAAGTTGGTTAAAAGGCAAATTCTCAAGAACCACACTCTGCTATGGGGCCTAGGAATATGCACTGAAACCAACACCCTAAGTGATTCTGATTCACTTAAATACTTGGGGACAGTGGCAGGTACTTCAAAACAATAAGACCCAGTTAGGAGGCTACTGCAGTACCCTGGAGAGAGCTGGGCTGAAATAGGCAGTGGCCCGAACTAGGCTTCCCTTTCCTTTTCTGATCAGTCTGCCTTCTCAGGCTTCTGTTTGAGCTCCTGTCCACACTGAAGACAATGCAGCCCTGCCCAGAACCAGAGGCTGAAGATAGGAATTAACAAGACTTGGAGATTGATTAGGAAAGGAGGAAGTCAAGGAGGTGGCTCAGCTTTCTGACTTGGGGGCAACTAAAATGCTGGTATGCCATTCAGTGAAACAGAAAAACGTGGAGAGGGACAGGTCAGGGAAGGTAAAGTGAGGGGTTTCAGAGATACAGATTTGAGAATCATTAGAAGTTGGTGAAATCATCCCAGGAAAGGTAATAGAGTGAGAAGAAAAAAGAGTCTAGAACAAAATCCCAAGGAGCATTTAAGGGACTGAATGAGGAAGAAAACAATTGCAAAGGAGATGAGGAATCAGGACAGGCCAAAGAGGTGGGAGGAAAACATACCTCCTACAGGTCACAGAAGTTAAGGGGAGCCAGTTCAAGAGAAGCAGCGACAAACTGGGAAGCATACAGGATTGAGCACAGGAGATTGTGGTGATCTTGTGGAGAGCAGTTTTAGCGGAGCTATGGGGACGGCACCAGATTGCAGTGGATTGAGGAGTGGGAGGTGAAGGAGTGGAGACAGCTGGCACGGACATTTTTTCAAGATGTTTGGCCAAGAATGGAGAAAGATAACGGTGGTAACTTGAGAGGGGAATAGAATTGAAGGCGAGTCTTTTTTCTGTGCTAACAGGAGGAATGAAAGAAAATACAGAGACCAGGCAAATTAATACAGCTGTCGGAGCGCAGGTGATGGAATCCAGTGCACAGATGTTGGGATTGTTCTTAAAATAGAAGGGACCGACTTCTGTTTTTTAAAGGGATGGAAGGAGAAAAGAATTGAGTGAATGATTTGGAAGCTTGATATTGGGTAGTCGAGTGACTTTTCCTCTGATGGATTCTACTTCTTTTTGGAAGTTAGAAGTCAGGCTATCAGTAAGGAGTTTGTTCAATGAACAAATGAATATATTTCCTCAGCTAGTCGAAGTACAGGGTTACCAACAGGACAGACGAAGTCACTGCACTTGAGGCATGAGCCTGGTGGGAAGCCGGTCGAGGCTGAAGCTTTAAATTGCAAGGATGATGCTGACTGAAAGTAAGTGTGATATTCCTCCGACTGTGTGGAGGGCTACATTTGGTCCACGTTGTGGGAGGCTAACAAGAGGGTTTTTTTTTTCCAGAATCCCACACTGGGGCTTGTACTTAGGCTCCCCCTCTCCCTTTTGATCGGTTTGCCTTCCCTGGCCTGTGTCTCACGTCTAAGGCCTCAAACCTCCTCGTCCCCTGATGACCAGCTGGAAGCCATTTTGATTATGCTCCACCACAGAAGGACAATACAGCCCCGCCCAGAGCCAGGCGCGCCCCCGCGGCGGGCCGGGTGCGCGTGTCCGCGCCTCTTCCCGCCGGCCTGGCGGGCTCCGGGCCCAGGCC